TTGCGACCAAATGAGTCTTTACTGGGGGGACCCGTCCTGGGCACGGTAGGGTGTCCAGCAGCAGCCCTGGCTTCTGCCCACTAGATGTCAGTAGCACCTGCCCCACCAGCTGTGACAACCAAAGGTGTCTTTTCCAGACTTTGTCCAATGTCCCCTGAGGGCAGAATTCACCCTCCCTTTGACCCACGAAGCTAATTTAATTGGCTAGAAGAGCGACAGGCCGTCCCTGGGGTGGGGGCAGATCTAGCAAATGAAAACACAGGGTGCCTGGTTAGATTCGCAGGTCACATAAACAACAGATACTTGTCTGGCCTAAGTATGTCCCAAATATGACACGGGACATACTGGGCGTCCTGTACTGTGTCCGGCAGCAGCAGGTGGACGCAGCGGCTGCCGTGGGGAAGGTCGTGTTGGGGGAGAAACAGGAACCAGCACGAGCTCCCTTACGGCCAAACAGCCACCGACTCAGAAACAGTCTCAGGATCAGAGATAACTTCCAAACGGCGGTTTTGTTGTGATCCAGCTCTGAGCTTCTGTGCGAAGAGGGAGCGCAACAAAGTGTTTGTAAATGAAGTGAGCATGACTCCGAAAAGGGTACTCGTTTTCTGGTAGTTCAGAAAGATAATCCAATTTTATGATTTTGTGAAAATATTACTGCTAAACTATTGACCTACATTTCTACACGTTTTAGCTGATTTGTGCACAGAAGTAAATTGGTTTCACTGATTTTTATTCTTTGAGTCCACATTACATTAAAAAATATTACACTTATTTGAAAATAGCTTGGAGCGCCTTTTCTTTTTAAAATAAAAATGATCCGCATTTATGGTAAAAGAGAGTGAAGCGACACAGAAAAGTAGAAAGTGAAAAGCACGAGTCCCCGTTGCTCCCGTCGTCGGTCTCCTGGCCTTGTTTCCAGAGGCCGTCAGCAGGACAACTTCTAGTGGCTCACTCTGTGTCCCCGCCTTTCTGCACCCCGAGTCCTGGTGTCTGGCCCCGTGCAGCCCCACCCCTGCGGTGGGCTGGGCTGCTCACTTGCTTCTGGCGGGCGGAACGCTGCCAAACCGGAGCAGCGCGCTTCTGTGAGGAGCTTACGAAGGCTGGGGACGTCCCTCTTTTAGCAGACGCCATTCCTTCCGGTTCCAGGCCTCGCGGAGCAGCGGCCGTGCTGGAAAGGTCCCGCGGCAAGGAGCCGAGAGGCTCTTCGACCAACCGCCCTCGAGGAGCAGAATTCTGCTCACAATCACGTACGTCAGAAGTGAATTCTCTCCCGGTTGCGCCCTCAGATGAGACCTCAGCCCTGGGTGACATCCTGACCTCGGCCTCTTCAAAGTTCTGAAGCAGAGGACCCCGCTCCGCCGGGCCGACTCCCGACACGCAGAAGCCGTGAGGCGCTGAACACGGTGGTGCAAAGCAGCTCGTCTCGCAGCAATACGCAACTAATGCGCCTGCCTTTTACACGAGTGGGCCATGGCCTACGTGCTGTTTTGCGTGCTCTAGGAAGTTAGATACGAGAGTTGGTCAGAAGGAGAAATAATGGAGCAAGGAATAGGGAGTACACGCTGATGGTTTCTTTTTTAGGTGTTCGTGTGAACATAAACTTTTATTTCTCTGGGATGAATGGCCAGGAGTACACTTGCTGTGTCATGTGGTAGCTGCATGTTCGGTTCAGTTTTTGTTTTCAATTGACTTTAATTTTTAGTGCAGTTTTAGGCTCACGGCAAAGCCGAGCGGAAGGTACAGAGGTTGCCCCGTACCCCTCCCCCACCCGTATCCTACCTCCCCAGCAGAAAGGCACGCGTGTTAGTCGAGTCTACACTGACGCATCGTCGTCATCCCAGCATCCGCGCTTTGCAGCAGGTTCACTCTGGGTGTTGCGCATTCCATGGGTTTGGACAAATTTATAATGCCGTGTGTCTGCCATTACAGTATCCTACAGCGTAGTTTCGCTGCCCTAAACATCCTCTGCTTTTCTTTTTTTTATTTCTGGGCTGCTTCAGTACAGCAAGTGATATTTGGGAAAATGGTCACGATGTCTTGTGCGGACTGGGCAGGTGAGAGTCTAGCTCGACTCCTTCATGTATCAATTGCAAAATGCCCTGAAGAATCTGTTTAGTTATCATATACTTTTAAGTCTTTAAGAAATATATTCTGAAGTACACCGGATAAAAGATCAACGCAATGAACAGCATAAAAATTCTCAATTTTGTTAAACAATCATTTCTGACATCATGGAGGTGGACGGCAAACTGAAAAATACTACAATTTTAACTTCTCCAAAATGTTTAACCTCAACCTTAGAGCTTATTTTTTTTTTTTATTCACAATCATTTCCAACTAAGAAGGGTTTTAAAGCAAGTCAATGGAATTCTTAGAGCTGATATAATTCAATCTTTATTTTTAAATTATGGCAAAATGTGCATAACATAACATTTAACCACTTTGAAGGGCACAGTTCAGTGACGTTATATATATTCACAAGATTGTATGACCATCCCCATTATCTGTTCCAGAATTTTTCATCATCCCAAACAGAATTCAATCTTTAATACCGCCATATTTTAAAATTACAACAAAGAACACTGATGCAAAGATAAACTCGATCCAATTGGGCAACTTTTTCTTCTTAACGGGTTGTCTCCTTCCTAAACATAATATCAACATATATTCCTACCAAAACCCTGGAAGCATTCACCGAAGCTGATAAAGTATTTTTATGACCCGTGGCGAGTCTTGGAACTAGAACTCAAATCTACCATTCCTGATTTCTCACTTGTTATACCGTTTTACTGTCCTGCCCAGTGGGTTAATGAATTAAAAATTGTATTAAAACTTACAAATGCATCATCTACCCATGTATTGATATTTCCTATCATAAAATAATTGTTTAAAAGTGAATTGGGGCCAGGCACGATGGCTCAAAACTCTGATCCTTGCATTCTGGGAGGCCGAGGTGGGTGGATCGCTCAAGGTCAGGAGTTCAAGACCAGCCTGAGCAAGAGCGAGACCCCCCATCTCTGCTAAGAATAGAAAGAAATGGGCTGGGCGCGGTGGCTCACGCCTGTAATCCTAGCTCTCTGGGAGGCCGAGGCGGGTGGATTGTTTGAGCTCAGGAGTTCGAGACCAGCCTGAGCAAGAGCGAGACCCCGTCTCTACTAAAAATAGAAAGAAATTAATTGGACAACTAAAAATATATACAAAAAATTAGCCGGGCATGGTGGCACATGCCTGTAGTCCCAGCTACTCGGGAGGCTGAGGCAGGAGGATCGCTTGAGCCCAGGAGTTTGAGGTTGCTGTGAGCTAGGCTGAAGCCACGACACTCTAGCCCGGGCAAGACAGTGAGACTCTGTCTCAAAAAATAAATAAAGACAGGCTGAAAAGGAATATGGATAATTAAAAAAAAAACCCTTTTTCCATTAAATTTGAAATGGTGGGAATGCACGTACTTTCTTTTGCTTTCTATTATTATTTGGGAAATAAAGAATAACAAACTAACAAATGAGAAAAATTAAAACTATGTTTGATGATAACCTAAAACTTGCCTCTAACGTTGCGTTTTTCGTTGGTAATACATGGTTGTGTAATACGCGCCACAGCGGTTCTTCCCTGCGGGAGAAGCTAAGGAAATTAAACAATGCTGTTGCACGCGTGGACGGCGGCTGTGACGGAGCTCGTGGAGGTGGTCGCTGGATCTCGCACTCCGTTACAGAACCAGTGTACCAAGTGACAGACTAAAGCGACTTCCAGCGGTGGTGACGCGCAGAGCCGGCAAGTCTCTGTCGCGGTCCCTGAGTTCGGCCCTCGCCCCGCAACCGCACGCGCAGCCCCGCACCCGGGGGGCGCAGGTGCCACGCGCCGAGACCCCGCGAAGGAAGAGACGCCGGACCCGGCACCTCACTCTCCCGCGAGTCTGTCCCCTCAGGAGCCGGACTCGAGAGCGGACCCCAGCCCCAGGGCGGCCACGGAGGCGGGGCCGGCGCGCGGAGGGGCGGGGCCGGCGCGCGGGGGGGCGGGGCCTCGTGCTAACGGTCGCGCGGCGGTGCGCGGGCACTGGGCTGCTGGCCGAGCGCGCTGTGGAGAAGCCGCGGGGCGGCGGCTGTGGCTTCTGCAGCGCGAGGAGCAGCCAGACTAGCGAGCCTCCGGTGAGCCGCCTCGCGCTGGCGGGGTGTCGGGCGGCCCGCGCTGTGGCGTCCCCAGGCTGTGGCGTCCCTGGGGCTGTGGCGTCCCGGGGCTGTGGCGTCCCCGGGCTGTGTCGTCCGGGGCTGTGTCTCCCCCGCGCTGTGTCTCCCCCGCGCTGTGTCTCCCCCGGGGCTGTGGCGTCCCCGCGCTGTGGGACGCGCGCGGGAGCCCGTGGGACAGGCCGTGTGGAACGCGGTGTCGCGGGCGCCCCGCAGCTGTCGGCGCAAACAGCGGCCGCGGACGGGAGATCGTTTCCCGCCAAGTCCCCTCGGTCGGCCCCGAGCCTCCCGCGATCCCGCAGCCCTGGGGGTGCCGGGCAGTCCCCTGCGCGACGCTGCGCCCGGGACACGGAGCGAACGGACGCGGCCGCCCCGACAGACCGACCGGCCGACGGTGTGGACCGGCGCGGCGGGGCGCGCGGGCAGTTCTCTCTCGGTTTTCTGAAAGCCGTGTTAGCTGGCGGCTGTCCTGAGAGGTCACTTCCAAGCGCCCTTCTGTCCCCAGAACGACACCCGAGGGTCCGGGAGTCCGCGCAGAGCCCGCCGGGGTCCAGGCGGAGCGGCCCGTCCGAGTTTGTCTGAATGTGTGGTCTCTGACGGGGGGTCGGGAGAGTTCCCGGGTGTAGACATGACCGCGTGGCGGGCCTTGCCGGCGTGTCGAGTAGAGCAGGGCATGATGGGAACCTCGTGCCTGAGCTCTGCGGAGGCTCGTGTGTCCGGAACAGCAGGATGGAAACCGCGCTCCTTCCTGTACGGCGGATGCCGGGCGTAGGTGTGAGGGTCGCTGACTGAAACTCTGTCTGCCCGAGAACCTAACCAGCGATGGCGGATCGTTTCCAGGGCTCGTTCGTCCGCTTGGTCGGCAGGGACCCGCCTCTGCTCCGCGCCGCCGGGCCGCCGGAGGGGACGCGCCGGAGGGGACGCGCGCGGCACGGGCCTCCCCGAGACGGGCGCCCCAGCGAGCCGGAAGCCGGAGAGCGGCTCTGGAAGGGCGGCGTGGGGTGAAGCAGGGCGGCGGCGGCGGAGTCCAGACCCGCTGGGCAAGGAGTCCGGATTTCACTCGGGCTGCGGCGGGAGGGGTCGAGGAAGGAAGCGATGTTATTTAAGTCTTAAAAGGTGGCTGTCACGTGGAGAAGCGACAGACGAGGGGCAAGAGCGGAGGCGGGGAGTGGCGAGGAGGTCAGGGAGATGCGGAGAAGCGTCGAGAGCTGATGGGCAGGGAGAATGGGCGGGGCCTGGCAAAGGCGCGCCTGGGAGGCGACGGAGGGCGTCGTCGGTGGCAGCGCGCGCAGGGGCGGCGTTTTCCCACGGGAGGTGGGAGGCAGCGCCGCGGGCCTGACGCCTGGCGGACAGTCGTTACCCTGAGAAGAGCTGGCCACACACGGGCACGCACGCCTCTCCCCCGGCTCTGGGCAGTGCCCCTAGGTCAGCAACGGTCGCCTGGATGCCCGCTCCGCCCCTCTGCGCGCAGGTCCTCCAGCCCAGGCCCAGGCCGCGGACTGACTGAGCTCCGGCCTGCTCGGAATTCGAGGCTGTGGCCTCAAAGCAGAAGGGTGCTGGGGTTTGTCTTAGGGTCTGATGACACCCTCGGCTGGCCCGTGGGCCAGAAGCCTTCTCAGAACGAGCAGCCAGCAGCGTCCTTGCCTCATCTGGGCCACGGAGTCCCCTTTTGTGCCAGAGCCCCAGCAGGAGGCGGCGCGAAGTGACGCAGCTTTCTCTTCTGGAGGAAAGCTCCGGCAAGGAGGAGCTCCGGGGTTTGGGCCCAGCCATGCTCCGGCCATCCTACGTGCGGGGCCAGAAGGTCCTGGGAGGAGCTGGCATGTTAGGCTGGGCTCTGGGCTAGACAGGAGGCTGCCCTTCAAAGGCCGGAGGGCGGCTCAGAGCTCAGGGAGGGCAATCGGGGAGGCTGGGGAGGAGAGCTGCCGGAGTCGGTCGCGGTGTGCCCGCGGGCTGCGGTGCAGGCCCCGCCTCGCAGCAGGCACCCGTGGCATCGCCGCTACTGCCAGCTCAACCCGGACAACTGCAGTAGAGCCGCTACCGCCAACTCTTTCCTTCCACCCTTGCCAAGGGTCTGGATCAGTGGCCTCGAGACTGTACGTATCTGGTCCCACATCTGGCTGTTTCCACAGCTCCTCTGTGAGGCTCTGGGTGAGTATGAGGAGGAGATCTGGGGACCAGCCCCCGGATCCACCCGTGTCCTGATTCAGGGCCTGACACATATTAGACCCTCAATCCACGTGCGTTGAATGGATAAGCTGGTACAAACCAGGCCATTACAGTACTCTAGGTGAGGAATGACTGAGCGTTCGGCTGGGAAGATGAAATTGGAGATGGAGAAAAGGAGACATTTAAAATATATTTTTGAAGTGGAAGGGACAATAGTTGCTGATGAATGACGTAGTCTCTGAATTCCCATACTGAACTCTAATTCCTGTTGATTTTGTATCTGTCAAAATGGTGGGCGAGAGGAGTCATGTTTTTGTGGATGGACGCATATACCATATACTTGGAGCAAGAGTAGATGCTGAAGGAACTTCAGAGAGATAATACGATGTCATGTATGTCACTGACCAGACCACCAAGAGGTGCTAAGGGGTAAAAAAAACTTGAGAATTCATCACAGGTTCTGAGGCTAGGAAAATTGGGGGAATTCATTTAGAATGTAGGTGGGTTTATTTTATTCTTGTTTTTTGAGACAGGGTCTAACTCTTGCCTGGGCTAGAGTGCAGTGGCATCATCATAGCTCACTGTAGCCTCCAAACTCCTGGGCTGGAGTGATCCTCCTGCCTCAGCCTCTGGAATAGCTGGGACTACAGGTGCATGCCACAATGCCCAGCTGGGGTTGCGTTTTTTCACAAAATTTAGCCATGGAATAATTCATCCTCTCCAACCTCAAATGACTGGCACTTGATAGACTCTCAATAAATATTTGTGGAACGAATGGATGAATGAATGAATCTATCAGTTTGGCAAGTATTTCAGACAATGAAATTGCTCTGTAAACCAGACCAGGCCAGACCAGGCCAAAGAATGAATGAAGAACTTGACACTGTTTAATTCCTAAGTGTTTCTTCTGGCACCAAAGAGCCTTGAATGCAAAAACTGCTGCATGGGATGATGTTGAAAGGCAGTGCTATCATCTTTTGTGAGCCTGGGAACATCCAGGCATCTCGTATACATTATTTCTAATTCTCACTGCAAGGTAGATATTATCCACATTTTAAGAATGAGGAAATTAAAGTTTAGCAATGTCAAAATATGCAGCTGCAAACTAGTGGTGCTGGAATTCAAAATCGTATCTGACTATCTCCGTAGGCTCCCTGAAACTCATGGATGTGTCATGGGACACATCCTTGAACTTGAAGCCTGTGGGTGAATGCATTCACAGAGTTAAAGAGGCCCTGGATTATAAAGTGAAATCAAATCAAACCGGCAGTTTTGTATAGCTTACAGGTTTTCTATGATGAAACCTTTTATAGTGATGGTATTGAGAAACAAGCCACCATTTCATTCATTTGATATTTGTTGAGTGTTTTCTAGTACAAGGTAGTGTTGAAATACACACATAAAAATATGTAAGATGCCACCTCTGCCCTCATGGAGCTTACCATCTAGAGGTGCATTTAAAATCACTACCTTTCTCCCTACACTGT